AGACAAGGTCTCGCTCTGCAGTTCAGGCTGGCCTTGAGCTCACTTTGTAGCCCAGGCTGGTCTCAAACTCGCAACGACCCTCCTGCCTCAGCCTCCCGAGTGCTGGGATTACAGGCGTGCGCCACCACGCCCAGCTGCAGTTAAATTCCTGATATGTACTGTGTACTTGTTTCTTTCCCCCTAAGGTGAGACATCTAAGCAGGAGCCATATCTGGCTCTTCACACAGCCCGCTAGTAGCCTGCAGTGAGCTTTCCTGGTGCCGTGTAGACAAACACAGTGATCTTAAGAAATAGGACTCCCGTTATTAATCTGCTTTTGGTTTTTTGCTAGGTTTGATGTAGGCCCAATTCTCAAGCAGGAAGCCATCCCTGTGCCACCCAGGAGCACCGCCAAGGACCTGGAAGCTGTGCTGTCGAGCCTGGGTGCCAGCATGGTACGGTGCCGCAGCGTTCCGCTGCTTCTCGCGCATTTTGTAGTCGTCCTAAGTGGGTCTGATGAAAAGGATACGTTTATGACCTGTAATCTTTAAACTTCCTAAAAAAGAAAACGTTTCTGTCCTTGGCTTCCTGAAAATGGGCCCGGTACTGGTGGTCTCATGGGAGTCATTTGAGGGTTTGCAGCGTGATCCAGGTCACGGCCCACTGTCCTCTCCCTTCGTAGTGCGGCCCGGGCAGCCGCCTCCCCGGGGCCCCTCTCCCCGCTCTCTCACGCACCTGGCCTCGCATCACGCTGACCTCAGGCCCCTTCCCAGTGGCTCCTAGCGCTTGTGCCGCTGCAGCGCCAGAGCCAGCCATCTGCGTCTGTGTGCCCTGGACCTCTCCGGACCGACTTGCCTATAGATCATACCTCTGTGGTGTGTGTGTAGCTCCTTGAATCTGCAAGCAGGAGGGTCTGGTAAATGCTTAAGGGCTGAATTCGTAGTTTTGCTTTGAGCTAGTTAATTTTATTCAGTGGAAGGTTTCTTTCCCCGGGACATAGATGGTACTTCCTGTTCATCTGTTGATTGTCTTATAGGTCAAGACCCTGAGGGTCACAGACAAGTTAAATAATTTCCACGCTGAGACAGCTCGGGGGTGGTGGAACTGGGATCTGAACCCAGAGCACTGTGACTGCAGAGTACATTGTCCTTCTGTGAGGCCTCAGTGTCTTCCCTGGGCTGACAGTGTGGACAGCTGAGTGCAGGCTGTCCTGGTGCTGACGCCTTCCGTGGCCAGGCAACGCCCAGCACTGTCCGGAAGCCAGTGAGTGACCTGCGCAGAAGGGGGACGAGGGCAAATGGCCGTGTGTCTCTGCTTTGTTCTGTTCATCTGCGTATGTCACGCACGCTCTTCCTTTTTTTTTTAGCTTATCTCAGTTTTGAAGAATTTGCCTGCAAGTCTGAACAGCGGAAGGCAGCAGCCAGCCGAAGGGGTGACGTACGGTGAGTGGAGACTGTGGCTGCGCTCGCATGCGGAGGCCCCGTGCCCGTGAAGGTGTCTCAGCAGCGGGGACGTCCTCCCTTGGCTTCTGCCTTAGCTTCGAGCAGATCGTGTGCTCATTTCCATGCCGTTCCCAAGAACAGTTAGGAACTTTCCTCCCTCACAGCCAATAGCCTCAGTTAGGAGTCAACTTCTTTTTTCAGTGCTTTATTTTGAAAAGTATTAAACACAGAGATAAAAATGAAAGGCTAGTGTAAGAGACTTTAGTTTAATCTCAGAGTCAGCAGTTATTAGTATTTGATCATTTTCTTTTTTTGTTTGTTTGGTTTTTTGAGTCAGGGTCTCGCTATGCAATTCAGGCTGACCTTAAACTTACTGTGTAGCTCAAATTGGCCTTGAACTCATGTTGATCCTCCTGCCTCAGCCTCCTGAGTGCTGGCTTACAGGAGTGCATCACATGCAGCTGTGATCGTATTTTCTGTGTGTATTTTGTATATGTATTTTAAGTTTTGCCTGGTCATTTGCAGATTTGAATGAGGGTATTTTGTCTCTTAGTCCTTTAAAAGTGAAAAAAGTATTGACACTGTACCTTAGTAGTAGATCACTTGCCCAGCATGTGCAAGGTCCTGGGTTTGATCCCTAGCACCGCCAAAAAATTTTTTTAAACTAAAACAATGTTAGGATGTGGTCATTAGTTGTTATATCTCATTTTGTCTCTTTAAAGTAATTACTATCTTTCCTCCTTTATGTCCTTGACATTTTGAAGAGACCAGGCCAGTTGGCTAATTTGTTTCCCTTCATTGTAGTTTAATTTGTTTCCTGTCCCTTCTATTTCCTATAAATTAGAGATTTTAAAGGTTTAATCGGGTTCAGGCTTAAAGTTTCTGGAATGACTATTTCATTGATGCTGTTGTGTTTCAGTAACATTTGTTTTGGTTTGGGGATTGCTTTTTATTTTCCTTTGCAGTTTAATTTTACTTTTTGAATATATAAAATACACACCTGATTCAAACAGTAAAACTATTTAAAAGGATAAGCTCAAAAGAAGTCTTGCTTTTGCCGCCCCCAGTCTTAAGAATGTCACTTCATTAAGCTGTGTCAGTGACACAGAGCTAGTAAAGCTAAATCTGACCACTTGGTGGAGACGCTGACTGCCAGGTATTTCCAATGGGAAGCTATTTCCTTTTACAGCGAGCAGGCCATCAGTTAGGGAACCTTTGGCACTATGCAAATATCCCTGTGTATTTATCTGTTAGGCAAATTTTTTTTTTTTTTTTTTTTGGTCTTTTTGAGGCAGGGTCTCACTATGCAGATCAGGCTGGCCTTGAACTCACTTTGTAGCCCAGGCTGGCCTCAAACTCACAGCAACTCCCCTGCCTCAGCCACTTGAGTGTTGGGATTACAGGTGTGCACCACCATGCCCAGCCTCACTGCGCAAAATGTTATACTTCTACATTAGTACTAAGAGTAAAATTAAGGAGAAGATTTAGGATTTTTTTGTAATTATTTTCTTTTTCTTTAAAATGCACCCTACAGAGGGTATACGGTCAGATTAGTGTAGTGAACATCTACTGGCGAGAATATTTTTTCCATGTAGTTTTGTTTGTTTGTTTGTTTTTTCCGGTACCGGGAATCGAACTCACGACCTCACGCTTGCCAGGCAGGCGCTGTGCCACTGAGCTAAATCCCCAGCCCTTTTCCATGTAGTTTTGTTACACAGTTGGAGATCTTGTTAGGTTTATTTATTTTGATTTGTTTCTAATTTTAAGAGTTGCCCTTTGTTTCTCTTTGTGATTCACTTCTATTTTTTGAACTGTGTAAAACAGTTACATAGCTTGAAAATTAAGCCATGTAAAAGGCACACTCAGAGAAGTGCTACTTGTATTTTGGACTCATCCGACCTAGTATTTCTCCCTCTCCAAAGCACTGTTTGGAGTTAAGTACCAGAAGTGGTTAAGTAACAGAAGTTCCTCATAAAACAACATGTTCTAGATTTTTGTAATAATAATCCTTACAGAAAAGACACAAGGAAATGTACCTCAAACTGTTAAAAGTGGTTACTCTGGGGCTGAGAATAGTATCACTTTTTAACATAAATGCTGTCCCAGGTCCTCATTTAACCTCCCGGTATTTGCTCTTGCCAACATAATGTATGTATTTATTTTCCCTCTTTTTTCTCTTACAGAAAGGTAGCATAACATACACACTATTCAGGCCCCATCCTGTTCACTTAACAGTGTGTCTTAGAGCCCACTTCCTGCCCGTAAGAGGAGATTTTCCTCTTTCTTTTTCACGGTAACTAGTTCTCAGTTGTAATTATATCATAATTTATTCAACAGGTCCTCTAAGGCTGGGCATTTGGGTTGTTTCTAGTCTTTTGCTATTTCAAATACTAGTGCTAAGCATACTTTGTACGCACGGTACTTCTGAATCTAATAGATAAGAAATTGTGGGGTAGTGAATTTGAGGACTTTTTCATATGTTTTGGGACTTTTTGCATTTCTTTTTCCTGGGAGGAATCATACCTTTCGCCTTTCCCAGCTTCTGGAAGCACTTTATATGGTCCAGAAACTAGCCATCTATGATGTACACTGCAAATGCTTGCAGTTTGTCATTTGTTTCAAAATTTGTCGTATTTGTATGCAGCCTAGTCTGGGCCTCTAGTCAGAAGGGTGTTTTCTGCTCTCAGATTATAAAGTGGTTCATTTTTTAAAAAAATATTTGTTTGGTTTAAACATGCACAAAAGTTGAGAGACAGCTGTGGTAATCTCTTGTGCTTATTCAACGTAAGTATTTAGCTCACAGCTGCTGAACCTGATATTCGTTTGCTCTTGGCTTTGTCTCATAGCGCCTAAGATTTCTGCAGATACCAGCTGTATAAAGTGGGAAGAGCAAACTTCAGAACAAATACTCAGGCTTTACCGGGCCATTGGAAATATGGTGAGTTGGGAAGTCAGGTTGCACTTTCACCAAGTTGAGTTTTTTGTGTGTAATTTGCTTTCTGAACATTTTTATTTAGGAATGCACGTCATAAACTAAATGTAGGAAACCTGACATTGTTTACAATCAGATTCCTTTTCTTTTTTCTGTGACTGAGTTTCACTACGTAGCCCAGGCTGACCTTGAACTCACAGTGATCCTCCTGTATCAGCCTCCCGAGTGTTGGATTACAGGTGTGCACCACCACAGCGGGCTATGGTCAGATGCTTAAGTCAGTGGTACAAAGAGAAATTGTAATTTCAAAGTTCGTTAAATTCTCAATTCCTTGAAAAATTTACTGGTTTTTTTCCCCTTTATTTGGATAGCTGCTTATATTATTTGAAATCTGCACTTACCAAGTGTGTGGTTTTTAATGGACCACTTCTAATACTACGAGTGTTGGGTAAAATAGGGAACTACCACTGGGTGTCCGTGGCATGCCAAGTTCTTCAGTGAGGGTTATACCTCATGCTTCTCACGTTTTAAAGTCGAAGAAATTACCCGATGCCCGTAATCCCAGTACCTTGGGAGGCTGAGGCAGGAGGATCACAGGTTCAAGCCCAGCCTAGACAACTTACCAATTTAGCAGGACCCTGGCAGGAACTTAAGATCATTCGTAGCCTTTTGGCACCTGGGGGAATTGTGCAGCCTTTTAATTGTGGTAAGAATGTCCAGGGAGGAACATGTGGGGAGGGAAATCGATAGCTCTGTTTTGGCCATGTTAAGTTTAAGCTCCCTAGAAGATGTCCCTGTAGAGATGCTAGCTAAGCAGACCACTTCCGAGACGTAGCTGAGCTTTACCTGAAATGTCCCGCCGTCTTCTCCCTTACTATATAGTGATCCGGGTCTCCCGCAGCTCAGCCTGCCCAGCCACTGAGAAAAGCTTTGTGCTGTCAGACACTGAGCAAGAGCTTCTCTTGGAGCCTGAGGGTGGGGTTGAGTCCTAGAGCTGACCTTTCCTAACCAAGAGCAAGACCCCTACCTTCTCTCAGCTTCTGCTTTTTCACCTCTATAATGGGATTCTTGACCGCGTTTGCAACTGCTAAGTTCAGGGGAGATGACTGTAAGTTTAAGTCCACGCCAGCTTGTGATTTTGGACAGTAATGGTGGTGAGCAGTGCTGGGATGGTATTTTCCCTTCCTCCCTGCATTGCTCTGGGGATGAGGTGAGCTTCACTGCTGCATTTTCTCAGTGTGTTCCTAGCACGAATGCTGCACTAAGTATAGATCTTTTTTAGTTAGCAAGCATGTTTTAATAAAGCTTTTACCCCTTTGAAAGAAAAAATTTGTAGCTGGTTAGGGTGGACACGCTTGTGATCCCAGCAGTCTGGGAGGCTGATGCAGGAGGATCACAAGTTCAAGCTTAGTTTGGCAACTTAGTGAGACCCTGTCTCAAAATAAATAAAAAAGGGCTGGGATCTAGCTCAGTGCTAAGGTCCTGGCTTTAATCCCCAGTATCAAAAAAAATAATAATCATTTGCAGGCGATGATACTGGTTCTTACTCTTGCAAGTGCAGGGCCAGGGTGGAGGTGGAGGGGAGCTGGGGATGTAGCCCCGTGCTGTAGCTGTTACCTGGCGTGCAAGAGGCCCTGGATCTGATCCCGAGCACTGTGCCAAAAAGGAAGAAAGGGAGCGAGGGAAGAGAACTGAGTTGAGAGTCAGTACATCATCTCATCCTGGTGCCGCCCCTTGGGAAAACAGCTGCATTTTTCTGAGCCTCCCTTTCTTGATCTATGAAATAGAGGGCTGAATTACAGCCCAGAAGGAAATTATTCAGTGCGGCAAATTGGGAGATAGTGAGAACTTACTTCCTGGTACATATTAATCACACGCACACCCACACACACACATGCACCCCATGCTGGCATTAAACCCAGGGACTTTGCACTGAGCAAATCTCTAGCCACCCCTTCACCCCACCCCACCCCGTTTTTCAAGACAGGGTGTGCCTAGTTATCTAGGCAGAATTGAAACTGCAATTCTCCTGCCTCAGCCTCCCAGAGTGCTGGCTTTGCAGGTGTGCACCACCTCACGCAGCTTGTGTTAATCTTTATGAATGTAGTTGAGTCAAGTTCTAGGATCTCAGGTATGGGACATGTTTTAAGCGATAAAGATGTTGCTTCACACCGTGGCCCAGCCGGAAATAGACTGACCAGTAAACAGTGCGAGAGAGCTGGCTAGCCATTGGCAGGGGAAACGCTCAAATCCTGCCTTTCAAAACCCCGGGAGAGGGGCTGGGGATTTAGCTCAGTGGCAAAGCGCCTGCCTGGCAAGCGCAAGGTCGTGAGTTTGGTTCCCAGTACCGGAGAAAAACCAAAAAAAAAAAAAAAAAAAACCCCAGGAGATGCTGAGTTAACAATACTATGTGTCTAAAATTTGTTCATAGGGCACGATGTATGTTGTGTGTGTTTTACCACAATAAAAAATCAAAATCTAGATGGATCAAAGGTTTGCTTATAAAAAATGAAACCACATGACTGGAAGAAAGCATAGTTGAATAATTTTATAATACTTAATAATCTTAAAGTGCAGCGAGGCCTTTTAAAGCATAATAGGAACTACTTAAGTCATGAGAGAAAAGACTGCTCTCTATAACTCCATAAACATAGAAAAAAAGGAACAAAATGACTGTCCCCAAGACTCAAAGGCAGCAAACTGGGAAAAATATTCAGAAGAATTAAAAGGCTAATTTCCTAAATATGGAAAAGGTTTTCATAAAATAGTAAGAGTTGAGCAAGCCAGTTTTTAGAGATATGGCTAATGACTTCTTAAATTCTGCCTAATAAATCCCTTTATGTCTTTTAAAAATATGGGCAAATGGTATAAATAAACAGCTTATAGATAAATATACTAAAAGTACAAGCAAATACACGACAGCCTCTCTAACCATAGACAGTAGCAGATTGTCTTATCAAAGCACTTTAACAATAAAACGTGATGCCCTTTAGCCCAGGCATTGCACTTAAAGAAGCAAAATAAAAAAAAATTACTGGGGCAGGAAATATAATTCAGTGGTAGAGCATTTGCTGCACTGAAAAAAAAATTAATTCTCCATAAATAAATAAATGTTAAAAGATCTATCTTCAAGGTGGTTTATTACTATATTTTATAATTTTATAATGGTAAGAAATGGTTCATAATAGCAAGAAATTAGAAATAACTGAAGTACCCCGTTATGAAGGAATTGGTTGTAGGGGTGATGATGCTGTCATAGAAAAGGGACACTGCGATAGGTCCAGGGTGAAATGGGTAAGTGTGCAGCGATCGGAACTTGTCCAGGGCTACGGTTAAGTAACAGAAGTTCCTCATAAAACAACACGTTCTAGATTTGTGTAATAATAATCCTTACAGAAGAGACACAAGGAAATGTACCTCAAACTGTTAAAAGTGGTTACTCTGGGGCTGAGAATAGTATCACTTTTTAACATAAATGCTGTCATGTTTGCATCTTTCATAAAGAGCATAAATGTTTAACTGGAAATAGCAATAAAGACAGAAACATTGATTTTAAAATAATGTTTACAATCTTAAAAATCCTGTGGAAACTGATGTGGAGAGTCCTGCTTATGTTTTGTTCCTTAAAACTTACCCGTGCAGTCCCGGGTCCTCGGTAAGCGGGGAAACACTCAGGTCGGGGTAACACACAACAGGGGCTAAGAAGGGCCTGGGAGGCGGCGCGGTCCTGTTCATTCCTTCTTTACTTTTACTTGCAGATTCCGCTGCAGACGCTCTGGATGGGGAATACCATTAAGCTCCTGGATTTCGTAGAAGTGAACAGTTCAGTCCTTGCTGGTACTAACTTTTGAGTAGCTGACGTGGAAGATCTTTTCACTATAATTTATTTGAAAATGTGTTTGTTTTTACCATAGGTTACGTTTGCTAAAGATAAGCACCCTTATAGTCTGTTCAGTTCTACTGTCACAGCACGTAACATTCACTTAATTGTCTTACTCTGTGCAGAGAATAAGCCATTCGCACGCATTTTCTCATTTAGTTATCACAGGAACCTGGGAAGTGGTAGTCTAGCAAGACACGGGGCGAGAGACCAAACAACAGGCTTTTGTGACAGCAACTAGGCCTATGTCTGATTACCTGGGTGCAGGTAGGCAGAGAGCGACAAAGCTATCTGCCCCGAACAAAGAGAAATGTGCCCCTTTTATAAGGATCGAAAGAGGGTAGCGGGAGGGTTTAACAAACATCTGTGGTTAAAGTTCTCTGATCGCCTTGAATCCCCGTGGGCTGAGTCCTTTGAGGTGTCAGTTGTACATTTTCGGGCGTCTCCAGATGTCCCCAGGACCTGCAGCATTGCTTGTCCTATCTTATCTCCTTCCCTGTGTTTGCCGATGGCAGCCTCAGTGCTGAGCTGAGTTCCCCGCAGAGAGCAGTGCTTCTGCTGGACGGCACCTGGGGGCTGGGAGCGTCGGGCCAGGCTGCACACTTACAAGTAGAGCGGTATTCCTGTCCCATTTTAAGCTGTGATTTCCTGCGTTAAGGTTTTCCAGGAGTGCGGAATGACGTGGTTAATTTTATCCCGGTGAGCACCACAGTGAAACTACCCAGTAGGGAGAATGTAGACCAGAGTGTAGCTTTCCGTGCCGCGGCTCCTTCTGGCGCCTGTCAGTGCCCCCAGCCTGGTGAGGAAGAGGGATGAGCCACAGAGGGAGCTGGGTCAGCCCGGGGGCGTTGGCGCTCCCAGGAGCCTGGGCGTCTGGGTTTGTTTGGGTGGCGGGGAAGACCGGCTTACGTCCCGGTGGTTTCTCCCCTTGCATGGCAACACAGCTTGCACATGGAGCATTTTAGCCGATCACCAGGAGGCTGGGTGAAGGGCTGGTAGCTGCGCGTGTGTACGGAGGGCTTTCCTTTGGGCCTGTGACGTTCACAGGGCACCATGGCTTCATCGTGGATTTGAATTACAAAGTCAGGACATCAGCAGATGTGACCTTCCCAGTGTGAGCACTGCCTCCCGAGGTGTTTTCATGTTTTTAAAAAGAACTACATGAAGTTACATAATTACTCATTTCTCTGTTTCTCCTATCACGCCCCCTGTACCCTGTTCATCAGATCCAAAATTCTCAGGACAAGATGGTGTTCCGGGATCTGTCATATACCACAAACAGTCCCAAACGTTGCTGGTCTGTTGCAAGGTACATTTTCCTTTAGTTTCAAGTTAATCATACTTGTCTTACTGAGTTTATATTCATGTCATTTGAATTAGGACTTCACCGAACTGGCTGCCCATCAGATTGGACAAATACCGTAATTTAATTTTTTTTTCCTGTGACAGGGTCTCTCTATATAGTTCAGGCAGGCCTCGGACTCTGTGTAGCCCAGGCTGACCTCAAACTTGTGCTCCTCTTGCCTCAGCCTCCCACATGCTGGGATTAACAGGCACATGTTGGCATGCTGGGCTAGTTTGATTTTCTTAGGAAACGGTGGAATGTCTAGCATACTTTTTTATTTTTAGTAGTCGAATTTTATGCTTGGTAAAAAGACAGTCATAGCAAAGTATCTGGCTGAATTACTGCATGGCGTGTATACTACTTGCTTTTCCTGCTCTGTGGTAGATTTAAATCTGCTGAACAATTTAAAATGACTGGAACCATTGTTTTATAAGTCAGTGGTGTGTTCCTGAGAAGCGCTGTGCACTCCCTCCATTTCCTGGGTGTCCGTGGTCACGTGTTCATATGAGATACTGCACCTGCAAGAAGGGGGCTGAACACGTGTGGGACGCTGATCTGACCTGCGGACCCTGGAGATGGAGGGTAATGCTTAAGAAAACACTAACAAAGACCCTCCTCGTCTTTCTTGGCCTCTCCTGGAGCAGGGTTGGGTTCATGCGTCTTGCCCCCCTCGTCTGGGTCGCAGTTTGCTGTCATAAAAGAATCAAGCTGATTCAGGTGTGGATTTGAGTCTGGCCAGTTGTTGCACCTTAGAAAAAGATCCACACACCTGCTGCGGCTTCGTTTCCTTTTCTGACATGGGGACAGGACTGGATCTGCTGCCTTTTAGATTTGTTTTCATGAGCAGTCCCAGTGAGATACACAGACAGACCCTGCAAACTGTAAAGCACCACGCGAATTAACAGCTTTTTATGCTACTCCCTGTATAGTGAAGTAGGTCTACACAGGTCTGTGTATTTGCTCTCTCCTTGGTAATAAACTTTGAGAGTCAAGGACTTGTATATATTACTTTCCGTAGTACATTCTTTGCAGTTAGGCACTTAGTGAAAATTTGTTGATTTGTTTCCATGGTAAAAATTTTATGAATGAAAATTTACTTAGTTTTTCTGTTTTGCCACCACTGCCTGGTCACTTCTGTCCTTTCCCCTTGTAGGATGGCTGGGTTGGCGTCCGATCAGTAATGCTTAAGAAAACACTAACAGCTACTGATTTCTACAATGGATATTTGCACCCGTGGTACCAGAGAAATCCCCAGGTTCAACCAAGCCACTGCAGATTTCAGACTCTCAGACTTCCTACAAAGAAGAAGCAGGAAAAAAAATTGTTGCTATGCAACAGTGTATTAAGTAGTTAGGAAGTGGATGGATGAGAACCTATTACATATTTGTAATTTATTAAGAACCTTATTTACAAGGAAAACTGCCTTGGTGTTCAAAGAAGATGATGCTGTCAGAGGAAGAGGAGATTTTTTTGTCAAAAAGATGGATAACCTCATTTTCTGATTTTTATAGGCCTTTTCTACTTAAGTAACAAAAGAAGTTTAAATAAATTTCTATTTATAATGTCACACTCAAGGAGATAATATTTTTTCTAATGAATAAGAGTAACGTGTGTGTGTGGGGGTGGGTGTGGGGTTTTTTGGTCTTTTTGAGGCAGGATTTTGCTGTGCAGTTCAGGCTGGTCTTGAGCTCACTTTGTAGCCCAGGCTGGTCTTGAACTCGTAATGATCCTCCTGCCTCAGCCTCCTGAGCTTCTGATCTTTGAGCCCATCTTCCCTGTCTCCAGGAAAGCTGTTATGGAGGAGGAGCAGTTGCAGTGCCCGCTGTTAGGTTGGAGAGACTTTGTATGTCGGCTTTTCCTGCCTAGATTCTGTCAGCTAAAATCTTTCTCCACTCAGTCACTTACTCATTCTACTGTGTCCACTGTAAGGTGATCATATAACTGGTCATCTAAATTAGGATACTCTCAAGAGTACCAGGAAGCAGTTAGGATAATTCTCCCAGCACAGCAGGCAGAGGCTGGACTCTCCCAGGCAAACGGCAGTCTAGATGTCCTGGTTGTCGAGCACTTGCAGCAAAAGTGGCCTCCACGCTGATTGCTAGAGATTCAGAGATGAAATAATTGGCAACTTCAACCTAGCGGGGAGATGAACACACCCCAGTTATAAGTGCCGTGAACATACAATGGGAGTACTGATGTCCCTCGGGGAATCGGTGAAGCCTTTCCACAGCAGGCAAACAGGCTCCAGAGGGAGAGTTCACTGGGCAGATCAAGGCCTGGAAGGGCAGCCTAACATGGGCAGAGGCATGGAGGTTCTAAGGAGCACTGTCTTTCTTGGTTTGTATGGAGCACTTTTTGAGACTGGGTCTTGCTGTGTAGTTTAACCTGACCTTGAACTTGCTGTGTTGCCCAGGCTGACCTCGAACTCCCAATCCTCCTGCCAGTCTCCTGAATGCTGGGGTTCTAGGTGCACACTACCGAGCCCAGGAATCAGCACTGTCCCACAAGGGGCCTAGGTGATGCCATTCTTTTGGATGAGGGCGGCACAATGGCTCTTGGATTGCTGTCCTTGATACCGTGAATTTGTTATTTACGAGCTGGTTGTATGCTTATGTTTGTATATACAGCTGCCTGGGGGGACTCTGAGGGTGGGTCACGGGAGAGAAACAAACCGCATGTTAAACATGGGGTGGGAGGGGAGAGTACATTCTTTTGAAAAAAGATCGCAGGCGTTGATAGGAATGGAATAGGAGGATAGCAGTTAGACTGGAAGAGCAAGCTGAGGCCGGGTCACGGAGAGCTTTAAAAGCTGAGAGTGTGGGGCTTCCTAGTGTGTGGAGAGCCCTTCCCGGAGGTCCTCGTCGCGGCCCAGGAAGTTTGTGTTTGTAATCCCATGAAAAGTTACTGGAACCCTAGTGGGTTAATTCCAATCTGCCACTTCCAGTACAGCCCATGGCGAGAATAAAGACACTGAGGCATATTTGTAGTTGTGGGGAGCCAAGGGGTCCTAAGTCCAGCCACGATGATGGCTACTGGGAACCAAGGCCTCCACCCAAGGCCGAGCCCAGGCTTATCAATTCGTGAAGAAGGGAGTGGCTTGAGGATGAGTGACTGTGAGGATGGCAGGAAGTAGGTGAGTGCTGAAAGTATGAGGGCTGAAATCAGCTTTGCAAGTGCAGAGAGAGGGCTGTGCAGAAAGAGCGATCTGCATAACACAACTGAGATAGAATCCAATGCTTTGGGGTCAGTGCTTCAGCTCTGGTGTGTAATCCTTCAAGCCCCGTGGAATCAACCTCTATCTCAAGGCTCAGTTCCAGCCGACAGCGTGGAGCACTGGCTCTACGTCCCCCCTTGTCCCGGCTCACACGGGAACAATGGGGGGGGAGTGTCCAGGGAAACAGGCCTGCCATGTCCAAAGACTACCATCAGCACCTCAGCTGGACCGATAGGCATTGCTGAAAGCCACTTGAAGGGATAAGGCAAAGTCCCAGCCAGCTCTGTGTATCAATACATGGAAATAGGGCCAGGTCCAGCCAAAATGCAGACAGTTGTTCTTCCTTTAAGAAGAGTCTCCCAGGTGGTCCTCCACACTCACGCATGTGATTGACTTAAGAGCGATGTGGCCGGATTTGTGTTTTGGAAAGTTAACTGTCAGAGTGGTATGGAAGAGACATCGAGGGTACAACCTGGGCTGGAAGCTGTGTTAGGAGATTAGAAAAGCAAAGAGCTGAACCACAGGTGCAGCTATGATGGGAAAAAGTGACTGAGAAGATTTTTGCCATGGAGGTGGGAGACCTTGGCTACTGAGTTTTAGTGAAGAGTTTCAGCATCATCACTGAGAGCGTGTGAGAGTGCTGTACTGTTTCATACTTGATTTGTTTTCAGCACTTTGTCCCCTGCAGGCTCATGTTCCTGCTGGAGAATTCAGAGTGACCAGTGGCCCCTGGGAGTGACTGCTGCAGGAGTCTAAGGAGTGTGTGTCAGTCAGCTTTCCGTTGCTGTGGCAAAATACCTGAGATAAACAACTTATAAGGAGGAGATAACTTATAAGGGCTCATTTAGCTCATGGTTCCAGTGGGTCAGTGTGTGGTTGTTTGGCTCTGCTGCTTTGGGACTCTGGCAGCACAGTACATCATGGTGGTAGTACACGCTGGAGGAAAACTCTTCAACTCATAGTGGCCAGCAAGCAAAGAGAAAAAGGAGAGAGATAGCGCACCCCCCCCCCCAGTGACCTTTCTCCAACTATAGCCAACTCCCAGAAGTTCTGCCGCTTCCCAGTAGTGCTGGGGACCAACCCCTGAACACACCAGCTGTTGGTGACACACTCACTGCCAGAGCTATGACCCAGGAAAGGCTGGGCCCCACTTGCAGTGCCTAAGGAAATTTCTGCCCTTCTATCCCCCAGCTAGGGTGAAGCCTTGGCAAGGATAGCATCTCTGGGATGCTAGAGGTAATCCCAAAGGAGATCCATCCAGCCCTCACAAGTAGTGAAGTGTGAAGTTGGCTCTTGGTTACAAAGAAAGTGGCTTGAAGCCCCTCTCAGTGATAGGCTGATGGACATGGTTGGTATGCCCAGGACTAAATGGAATACTCTTCAGACACTGGAAATCTGGAAGTGAGACCCATCATATAGGCTGCAGTGTCTGACTCGGGGACATTCAAGCCCATCCTGGGACAGTAGGATAAACACCAGGCATAGATGTGACATCCTCAAGTTGGTAGCCCATTCTTTGAGAAATTACAAGACATTAACAAATGTGACTATTTAAAAGCCACTTGTAGTGGCACACACCTGTAATCCCAGCACTCTGAAGGCTGAGGCAGGAGGATCACAAGTTCGAGCCCAACCTGGGCTACATAGTGAGCTCAAGGCCAGCCTGCACTGCATAGGGAGTCCCTGTCTCAAAAAGACAAACAACAACAACAACAAAAACCCTGAAAAAGAATTGATTACAGTAAAATAGCCATTGCCATTAATCCCCCTCATAGCCCTCCCCCTTGCTTCAAACACACTTAACCCATCATTGTTGCCACTTTCTCAAGCAGTTGTGGAAGTCCTTCTTCATGAGTGTCTTCTGAGGTGTGCTAAATACTGCGAATGCTGCTGCTGAGCGCCATCCAACAGAAAGACTTGTAAAAACACAACAGTGTGTGCTCATCCACCTTATTCGCCAGGTCTGGCACCGTGTGACTTGTAGATCTTCCCCAAAGTCAAAAGGACCATGAAAAAGCCGGGTGCGGTGGCCCACCCCTGTAATCCCAACACTTGGAAGGCTGAGGCAGGAGGACTGCTGTGAGCTACATAGTGAGTTCAAGGCCAGTCTGAACTACACAGCAATACCCTAGCTCCTCAAAAAACAACAAAAATGACCATGAAAGACAAACATTTAAAGTCACTTTAGGACACTGAGGCAGCCACAAAAGTGCAACTAAACACACAGACGAGGCTTTCAGAACTGCTTCAGAAAGTGGCAAGAATGATAGGATAATTGTGTGTGGACCAAGGGGAGGATTTTGACAGGGGTTAGTGGGAATGTCATGTTACTGTAACAATTTTTTTTAAAAATTCACCCTATCTCCCCCCCCCCAACTATCTCATTCTATCTACAGTGTCCCTGTGAAAGCAGAATTGGTCTTGGATTTTTCAGAATCTTAAATGGCTAGTAAGTGGTGGACTTGGGGTTCACACTGATAATCTGGCTGGGAGCCTGTGGGTCCAGTCACTCTACTATCATGCCCGTGGTTGCAGACATGGACTAGGAATGTAATGTGTTAGGCTTTGGGGCTCAGGGACGAAGGAGTGGGAGCACATTCACTAAGCAGTCCTTCTCCACAAGCACCGTGCTACACAACTTCAGAGAGCTTGGTGCAGTTTGTCATGATCTTTGTTTTACCTCTAAGATTCACAAAGTTTTCTAAAGCTGCCATCTCTTGAGGTAAAATACTGTGGCTTCTCTTCTCCAAGATTTTGTATCGGAGCTCTTCCTCCCAAAGGTAGATTCTCTGTTCTTGTTTATTCATCATTCAGCTCGTTGAAACATCATGGAGATGCTAGGATGGCAGCTGATGCAAAATATGTGGTTCTTTTGCTTAGAAAATTTTATTTTAAAGTTAAAAGGCCTGGGGTACAGAGATCAGAGATAGAGCACATACACTGTGTGAGGTTCAGTCCCCACCCCACCCCCACCCTATGTCAATAATGGATGAACATTCTTTCCCAAGAAGTGAAAATACTATTTCCAGGGCTGGGGATGTAGCTCACTGGTAGAGCACTTTCTCAGCATGTGTGAGGCCACGGGTCTGATCCCCAGCACTAGAAAAGAAAAAAAAACTATTTCTGATGAATAGGCATTTTGTATGCAGGTTTCTTTCCTTGTTTCTTTCTTTTAAATTTGGGATTTGAAGGGGAGGATTATCAGCTTTGAGGAAAGGGTGTTATAATATCTACATCAAAATTTATATAATCTAAAATCTCAGAATTGGAAAAATGGGCAGAGAGAGAATGAGAATGCTTTGCCCAAGGACAGAAGGCATCTTTAACTCCCAGATGACAACTAATAAATTCTTAATTACAAATAATTGCGTGTAACTTCTTTGATGAGGCCTTTACATTGCAAGTGATGGCACAGCTGTGGGAGCATCCTTCTCAGGCAGCTCGGATGCCCCTTCCTGCCCGAGCCCTGCAATCCGTGCAGCGTGACACAGACTTGGTCTGCTGAGGAGGAAGCAATGCTGTTTTTTTAAACCCTGGGGCTGGGCTTGATTTGGTTCACGGGCAGTCAGCTGTACCGCACCTAGGAAGCTTTTAAAGGGAGGATATTGGAAGAATGGGCATTTGTCTGGAAAGAACAAGTGTTTGTCAGTTTTTGACATACGCATGCCTGCTGGGAGTGAGACTGGAATTTACTCCACTGGCTCGGGGCAGGGAGGCAGTTTGGGTGGAGTGTACAGAAGTCCAGTTTAGGGGCTGGGGATTTAGCTCAGCGGCAAAAGCGCCTGCCTGGCAAGCGCAAGGTCGTGAGTTCGGTTCCTGGTACCGGAGAAAAACCAAAAAAAAAAAAAAAAGAAGTCCAGTTTATTCACCGGGAGACACTGGGGCTGCGGGGAGCCCCCAGGGCAGTTAGTACAGCTGCTGCACGCTGGGCCTGCAGAAGGCGGAGTAGAGACCTTGTCTGTGTGTATCTTTCCCAACATACAAAAATAGTACATTCATGTATGTAAGTACATGCAGAGAGGTCTCTCTAGGATTATTTTGTAGGTGTGTTTTAAAATAATTGTTATCTTCTCAAAAGCTCAATTAAGAGGGACAGAGCTTGGGTTTGGGCAGTGGGCCAGCTGGGCATCTGTTCTCTTTGCTTGGTGTTCACGACATTCTCTGTGAACATTCCAGGTTTTTAGGGCGATTTTCCCACGGGACGAGGCGCTGCAGGAACCAGCTGGCGGATCCCCGCTGGGACAGCTGCAGATTCCTAGCGCTCTGCCCACCAGGTCTGCCTGCACTTGTGCATTTCAAGACAGCTGGAATCGCAGCTGGGAACGGTTCCTTGTTGGGGCCGGGAGTGGCCAGTGTGCTTGCCATGTGTTACGGACAACTGAGGGCACAAACATGACCACGGGGCTTTTTTGATGATCAAAACAGTCATTATGTTTGGTTTAGTCTTTTACGTTGCGGTTAGAAGTAGGTATGTGACAAAACATACCTACACTGCGACTTTATTATCAACAGTTAAGCAAAAAACTATTTTCTTTTCTGGTTTTCTCCGGTACCGGGAACCGAACTCACGACCTTGCACTTGCCAGGCAGGCGCTTTTGCCGCTGAGCTAAATCCCCAGCCCCGCAAAAAACTATTATCACACTAATAAAGACTTCCTATCATTACAGGTATACCTATGATTTTTGTCTTATTACTGCTGTTACTAAAGTGAGAGTTAGGGGTGTGAGGTCCAGGAAACAGAGTTTTAGGAAGAGATAGATTGATTCACTTATTAATTCAGTACACACTTCAGGATGCTGTTGTAAAATTTAAAAAAATTTTAAAAAGAGGCTCTGATGCTCCCTGAATGCTATACAGTTCAGGCTGACCTTGAGCTCACTTTGTAGCCCAGGCAGGCCTCAAACTTGCAGTCATCCTCCTGCCTCAGCCTCCCGAGTGCTGGGATTACAGGCGTGTACCACCACGCCTGGCTGAATGTTTACATTTTAAAAAGTGATTACAGTAAAAGAATACATTGAAAATATCCCCTTCAAAATCCTCCTCACCTCAAACACACTTAGCCCATCACTCCTGGTGCTTTCTGAAGCTGTTCTGGAAATCTTTTGTGAATGTATTTATGAGGTACAACCAAAAATACAGAAAATGCTGCTGTCAAGCACCATCCAATGGAAAGGCAGCTCATAAAAATATTACAGTGTGTCCTCATCCACCTTATTCACTAGATATGGTACTGTTGACTTCTGGTTCTTTCCCAAAGGCACAAGGACCAGGAAAGGAAAATGTTTTGAATCAGCTCAGGACATTAGAGCCAGCAAAGACAGCACAACTAAAGACATAAAAGACTTCTACTACTGCTCCAGAAAGTGGCAAAAATGAAGGGATGTGTATTCAAAGGTGGGAGTGGGGGGTATTTTGTGGGAGAATAATGGCAATGTGTCATTTACTGTAATAATTTTTTTAAAAATCTAGTCACCATATTTTTTGATCATACCTAGTATGCTGCACTAAAATATAGTATCACTTTCTCGCTGGATGTGGTCGCACAAGCTGTAATTCCAGCACTCTGGGAGGCTGAGGCACGAGGATTGTAAATTTGAGTCCAGCTGGGCAACTTTGTGATTTAGTGAGGCAGGCCCTATATGAAAATGTTTAAAAAGGGCTAGAGATATAGCTGTCTGAAGACCCTGGGTTCAGTCCTCAGTACCAAGATCACTTTCTACGACTGACTCACAGCTCTGAAAGAGGTGATATGCAGAAAAAAAGGTTCACGTCTCACCTTGATGCTGGGAAATGCATTTGGGAGTTCCCCAAGTTCTAGACTGGAATAAAGGCTCGGGGGCCACAACGTGGGGGTCATGAGTAAGGACGCAGTTGAACTGGAATCTACTCTGACCTTAAACCCGTAAGTAGTTGCCTGGGTACAGGCAAAGTCCACAAGCCTTTTGACAGGGCATAAGCTTTCTCTAAAACACTGCAGAGAGCCATTTCCAACAGGACCATGTTCCAAGATCCCTAAAACTCTTCAAACAAGATTTATCTTATTCAATCTTACACGTGCAAATTTACTGAAGAAAGGAGACCTGGCGGCTGCAACATCGTGCTTAAGGACGATGATTATTAATATTCTCTGCGCCTGCAGGAAAAGGATGTGTGTCTGAGGCCAAGCCTAGTGCTAAGGAAGGCAGGGCTTAGGAGTTTGTTCCTGGACTCCCCGCCCCCGCAGACATCAGCACCTGGCTGGAAAGGAGGGTGGGGGCTCTGAATGGAGGACAGTGAAGGGCGTTCCTGGGTGTGTCAAAGAGGGGAAGAAAATCCTACTTAGGAAATAGCCCTGTTCATCAAAGCTCAGAACCCAAAGGTGTCTTCTAAAGCTTTCCACAAAGAGCTGCAGGCAGAAGCAGGTCCCCAGGGACCAAGTGTCCCCTCCTTTTTTTGTTGTTTTTCTTTTTCCGGTACCGGGAATCGAACTCACGACCTCACGTTTGCCAGACAGGTGCTGTGCCGCTGAGCTAAATCCCCAGCCCCAAGCGTCCCCTCTTTACTTAGTTATTTTTTGTTCTTTTGAGACCGGGTCTTACAGGATCTCACTAAGTAATCCAGGTTGGCCTTCAAATGGCAGTGATCCTCCAGCGTCAGCCTCCCGAGGGCTGGGATTTCAGGCGTGTACCACCACGCCCGGCAAAACGCCTCTTTCTTCCACAGCCATGACTTCCTTCGGGGTGCCCAAGTCAGACAGGTGAGCTGGAGCTGACACACCGGCTGACACTCGGACCTCTTCCAGCGCCGCCAGGTCATTCATCCGCAGTCCTCCGAGAGCCAGGAGCCTCACTTTCCAGGCCCCGCCCCTCCCGGGGGCCTTAGTGACCATCCCGACGCAGCCCCGCCCCTTCCTCGCGACGTGGCCCCGCCCCTCCGAACCCGGAAGCGGGAGCGGACGGCTTGGGCGCTGGGAGCGAGGCGGCGGGGGCAGCTCGGCCGCGCGCCCCGCCCCTCGGAGGCCGGCCTCCTGCGCGCCCCCGCTGTCGCCTGCAGGTCCGCGGCGATCTGCTCCGGCCGCAGGTGTCACCCTCGCCGGAGCTGCAGCCCGGAGCCGCCCGCGGCAGAAGGGAAGGGGACGTGGGGGTGGCCGCGGCAGGTGAGGGGTGAGGGGTGGGCGAGGCCCCGGGAAGCCGGCGTGTGGGTGTGTGGGGTGTAGGGGGTGTGTATGGAGCATGCGCTGCTGCCGCGGCCGGGTGTGACTTTGTGATCGTAGCCCAAGAGTCGGCCGGTCCATGTGATCTTGCACGTGATCGCACAGCCGTGTCTGTGTGTCTGAGGCCACGTCTGGGTTCCTGGGGGTGGGCGGGGTGCCTGTGGCCCTACCTTTGCGTGGCTGTCACCGAAGGGACGGGTGCGGGGCTTGGAGGGGGCGGGGAGGGGTGCCGGAGGCTTAATCGGAGCCCCCTGTGTAGGTCTGTCCCAGGGCTCTGGGGCCGTAGCCCCGGAACGTTTTATTTCGGTAAACTTTAAGAACTGTGGCGAGAGCTCAGTTGTCTTGGAGACTGGCCCTCAGCCCGAAAATAACAAATGTCTTTGTCATTGCTGAGTACAGGCCAGGTGTGAGGCTTCAGAAAAGTAACAGGACCAGAATGTCCCGCCTTTCCTCTCCCTTTCCTGGGGAGTTATAAGTCAGCGGCTTATGCAGCTGCTTTGTCTCACCTACAATGGTTCGGCTCCTCGCGGAACAAAGAGTCGGCAGAGTGCGTAACATAATAGCGGCATCCAGATCTCCAAAAGCGTTTATGCCAAGAGCTCGAGAAAAAGTGTTACCGGAGACATGTCAAGTAGGCAGCTTTTCTTCCAGGAAGTTTAGAGATGATGAAGAAAAGGGGTGAATCTTCCTGAAGGGAACTGCGGAAAGGGTACCTAGGCGTTGGTGTGGGAGGGTTGGAGCCCTGCATTAACAAGGCAGTTGTGCTGGCGGCGTAGCTCAGTGGAAAAGTATGCTTAGCACTTCCCAGGCCCGGGGTTCAATCCCTGGCCCCCTAAAAAAGGCCTCCAATTGTACTGTATTGTCTAGAGACTCTGGAGTCCAGCACTTTGTTTTTGCAGGTATTATTGATAAGCACAGATTGCCCGGATGTAAAGCAACTGTAGCTTGGATAAAGGATTAGAAACTTGTGACTTGTTAAGCTGGTTCTGTGGCCGAAACATTTGTGAAGGTGATTTCCTTGATTGTGAACTGGCAGAATCTGTGGAAACCCCGAAGGACATGACTTAATTGGCACTTTTATTGTCTAGCAGTAGAAGGGAGCCAGCAGCACCCCCCAGAGAAAGGATTTCCTTAAGATTCAGGCTAATCTCTGTGGCCCTTCACCCACCAGCACCAGCAGGCGCTTTTGTGTTTGTGAAACACCGAATCACAAGAGAGCACATCAGTGTTTGGTTTGTGGTCCGCATGTTTATTTCATCCTGGCCAGTTTTGTCACAATCTCAGTTCACTTTCTGTGCCACGGACAGAATGTTTCTCTTGTGACTCGGAAAAGTATGCCCTTTAGGGGATGAAAGAGAGAACAAACTTGCCTTTTCATACCATGCACAGCTGCTTTCCCTTTGCGGCAGCGAGCCTTTTTCCTCCTCAATGTCAGCTGGTCAGATGCAACATTTGGTATGTGTCTCACCTTTCATTACCGCCTAACTAGCACAAGTGTTAAAATCACTTGGCCCTTCAAAAAATTAGTCACAGCTGGGTAGAGTCTCTCTACACAGCAAGGTTAGCTGGAACCTGTTACAGTACTGTGGTTGAGTTGTACTGGGGACTGTTGGTAAGGAACATCTTTTTACTTCTTGTTGTGGGCAAGAAGTGGATGGGTGAGTGACTTTGCGTGCCCGTGTGTTCACAGGGTGGTTTGGTTTGTGCATTGCGGCAGATTCCAAAATTATGAATAACTTCTTATCCCAAGTTTGTTGACTCTCAAAGCAAACTTTCTGGCTGTGACTAGAAAGACATTTTAGAAATCTGTTGAGATTTTATTTGGTTAACATGTTTTTTTAAAATATTCTTTTCTGTGGAGTCATTGTTTTTAAAGTGCAATAATTGAAAATATCTCCCGTAGGAAATGTTTAGATGATACAGAAGTCTATCAAGTCTGCCCAGGTGGAAGATACTCTAGAATTAACTCAGTGTGGTAGTTTCTTTCACTTAAAAGTAATAATCAACTTAGAGAAAGACTATAGTTAAAAATGGCTTAGATTTTTAAAAACATGTTAATATTTAAGATAAAATGGATTATGCAAAGATTGATTTTTAGTAGGACTAATAGTGACATTTATACAGACTGGTTTTCAGCATAAGATTGCTGGTGAATTTCTTAGTACTTTAAAGCAACTTGGGATTTTAACAAAGGTATTATTTTAGTTTGGAGAAAAGAAGCATTATTATAATGTCAGTTATAAATCAAGTTTAATGTTGTGCATTTACTGTCTCCCAGGGGTGTAGTTTAGTCAGTCCTCAGGGCAGCAGTTGAGACTGCTGAGGGCCTGTGTCCCTGTGGGGACAGATCTGGAGGGCCATGGGAAGAGGAGGAGTTCCGTCAAGTTTAGCGTCCCTTGCTCCCTGGCAGTCCAGAGAGCCTTTTCTAAGACGACAGTTCAGAGCCAGCCCAGGAGTTAAGTCCTGGAGTCTCAGACTCAGCTCAGCTCTGCTAGGAAGTTGAGACCTGTGTAGTAGAAGGACGTGGTACAAGGCCAGTGTTTGTGTCCTTCCGAGTGGATGGCTGGCAGTTCCTCAGTGGGCACTAAGAATCTGAAATAAGGAACTGTAATTTCTGGTTCCTGGTATGAAATAGATAGATGGCGGAGCGAACAGAGGGGTGCCCTTTAAGTTGAACATGTCCCACCAGTGCAGAGCTCCTAGGTGCCAGGGTTAGGAGGGACTCTCCGGGGACCTAGTTCGGTCCCCTCAGGAGGTAGGCAGTCACTTAATCGGCAGATAACCTCTGCTTAGCGCCATGCACTATTCTAGGTTCTGGGGATAGAGCGGCGATGGATGAAGAAACAAGCCCAAAGGGAGTCATGGCTTATCCAAGGTCACAGAGATGTGAAAGCTAGAAATCAGCTTGGTGGAGTGCTTCTGTAACATGTGGGGCTCTGGGTTCAAGCCCCATACCACAAAACAAAACAGCTACCCCCCCTCCCCGGCAAATACCCCGCAAACAAACTAGAAATCACTAAGCTCACAAAAGTCCACTTTTTTTCCCCCAAAGACAGATATTTTATTGCTAGGTTTAGTGCCTTCCAGTTTATACCATTGATCTTCCAGAGCAGCTTTTAGGTAATATTTAATCACCTCACTAAAAATAGCAAATTTGCCTGTGCATTATACTAAGAACTACATATGTTTCTGAAGTTATGTTGCATTAGAGTTAAATTTATGGGACATTATTAGGAAATAGGCTTATTTTAACTCTTTTCTTTAGCATGAACTGTTGCCTATAATCAGATAGGAATATCTTTATTAAAATGCGTTGTTAAGATCATGTCCAGCCGGGCATGGGGGTGCGTGCCTGTAATCCCAGCACTCGGGAGGCTGAGGCAGGAAGATCTTTGCTAGTTCAAGACCAGCCTGTGCTACAAAGTGAGCTCAATGCCAGCCTCAACTGCATAGCGAGACCTTGTCTCAAAAAGAAAAAAAAAAAGAAAGAAAAAGATCGTGACAAAAGGTGACGGTATGACGATTAGCATCCATGTAACAGGGACAGGCAGTATGGCATCAGGAAAGATCCCTTCATCTGGTCCCAATCTGTGTTAGCCATGTAATCCGTGGAGTAATTTCTTCGAATTTTGTTTTTTGTGTGTATGTTTTTGAGACAGGGGCTCACTATGCAGTTCAGGCTGCCTTGAGCTCACTTTGTAGCCCAGGCTGGTCTCGAACTCACAACGATCGTCCTGCCTCAGCCTCCTGATGTTCGAATTTTCTAGATTAGATTCCTCTTCCGAAGGAACTAAAGGGGCTATAATAATTATTTCTCTTGGCTCTATGATTATAATATTTCACCAAATTGTTTTCTGTAGTTTAAGTGTATACTGACAAGGTAAAATTGCCCATTTCTTTGGTTTTAAAGTATTGTTAGTAAAGCTAGGCCAGCATCTGTGTTTAGTTCTGATGTAAACACAAATTCTTGACTTGCTTTTATTTCAGGGTCAACCTCCATCTCAGCTAATCATGGGAGAGATTAAAGTCTCTCCCGATTATAACTGGTTCAGAAGTACAGTTCCCCTTAAAAAGGTATGTATAGTTTTGCTACGCTTCTTATTTGTAAAATCTGGCATTGTTTTTGTGTGTGACTTACATGCTTTGCCTTAGTAATATTGGAGGGATGTGGTTTAGTGGTAGAGCACTGGCCTAGCCTTCATGCGGCCCTGTGTTCCATCCTGGCACTTAAAAAAAAAAAAGTGACTGAGAATATGAGAATTTCACCACTGAGCCACCAGTGTCTCTACTGAGAATGTAAAAGTAAGGAGTTTTACCAATATTGGGACTTTGGGTTACAGAACATAAAGTTTACCCCTTTCCTGTTGTCATATGCAATCAATTTGTGTGTGTGTGTAACTGCATTGAGGATTGAACCCAGGAAGTACTGAGCGACATCCTCAGCTTTATTTATTTATTTGTTTATTTAGTTTTGAGACAGGATCTCACTATATTGTGCAGGCTGGCCTCAAGTTTGTGATCCTCTTGCATCAGCCTTCTGAGTAGCTGGGGTTACAGGTGTGCGTCACCAAACCTGGTAGATGAGCTTCTCTTGATGGACTCTGTTACTGGAGCCCAAACACCCAAACTTACCCAAGCCTTCTTACAAGTAGTTGTAGGAAGTAGTTTCGTTGATGTAATTTTTCCCAGCTGTCAGTGAATTTGATCCACAGGTCATGCTTACAATTTTGTGGTGCTCAATTTTAAATTATCAAACAGATAGAGTCCTGTGTTTTCTAGGAGAACAGTGAGAAACACCCTTAGGTGTGTATAGCTTCTGTGTCATTTTTCAGAGCCTGTTATTTCATAACGTGCTGTTGGTGTTACTTTTCTCCCAGCCTGACATGCTAAAATAATTCCCTAGACTATTTTAGAAATGTGATGGTCTTATTTTATTACTACGTGATTGGGATTTGTTGTCTGCACTGTCAGAGGTCAGTGAGAGTTTTTTGGGTTTTGTTTTTAATCATAGTTACAACAGAATGATAGGTTGAAAAGCAGAACTGTAAAGGGCAAAATGCAAAGGTGGAAAACTTGAGCAGGAGCTGTATCCTCACCGTCTGTAAGCCCAGGAAGTCCACAGGGAAATCGTTTGGTCCCTCTGGACTTTGCCTTACCTGCTCTCGGTGACAGCAGTGGCCCTGGTTGGTGCACTGCTCCCCACGCAGTGGTGCTGTGGAGTCCCTGGCACTGCCAGCTCGCAGCTTTCAAAGCGAAGCACCCAGGGGCCTTTTTTTGCGGTATAAAAGTGAATCAGTATCGGTTTAAATTGGCAAATGTCCGCGCAGCACATAGTCATCATAGCTGCCCCATGCAGACCACAGAATGCCTGCCACGCACCTGACCCCTGTGCAGGTGTTGCCTTTTCTCCTCTAGGGTCCAGAACCATAGATCAAAAGGTTTCTAGTGCTCTTCTCCCCTCCTCTGCCTGAAAGCCAGTTTCTCCTTGTGTTCACTCCCCAACCCCGACGGAATGGTGGAGGCGTTCCCCGGGGACAGTGGCACATGCGTCTCCCTCCTTCCCCGAGGGTTGGTCCCTATCAGGGTCCCAAAACGTCTCCTGGGCCAGAGCTGTCTCTGCCTAGCTTCTGGTGGCCTCTCCCATTTCACCCCCTGACCCTGCCGATCCCAGCCAGTCCTGAGCCAGAGCTGCCAGGGAATGACTCTGCAGATGCTGTCATTGTGTGCGCGCAAACGCACACACACCCTCACACACGTACTCACACACCTACTCACAGGCAACTAGAAGTGGGGGGAGAAATAAGATGCCATTTACAGAGTTTAGTGTTTAACAGCAAAGTAGACTTTTTCCTGTTATCAAGGTTGGATAGGAAATCTAAAAACAGAGAGAGAGAGACAGAGAGAGACATGGAGGGAGGGGGAGAGGGAGAGGGAGGGGGAGGGGAGGAGGGAGAGCACGAGTGAGTGAGCAACCCGGAGGAAGCTGATAAAGCAGTTCTGTGGCATCTGTTAGCACTAAGAAAGCAAAGGAAACCAAAGCAGTGCATTGTGCAAGCTAATCTGCTGTGATCTGAGGTTACCTTGTGTAAGGCAGCGGCAGCGGTCCGTGAAATTATGTAAACTAACAACATCAAAACCAGACCCGTGAGGTGGTCCATTTTTTTCTTGTACCTTCCCTCCAGATTATCGTAGATGATGATGACAGTAAAATATGGTCGCTCTACGATGCGGGTCCCAGAAGTATCAGGTGTCCTCTCATATTTCTTCCTCCGGTCAGCGGAACAGCGGATGTATTTTTCCGGCAGATTTTGGCTTTGACTGGATGGGGTTACCGGGTTATAGCGGTAAGTATTATTCCTTCAGTGATTCAATTCAGATTTGGTGTTTGTGCTTCTGTTTCTGACCAACTACTGTAATGAACAGTCTTTTTTTAATTGAGCTAAGATATTTTGTTTTCCTTTTTGGGGGGATGCTACTGGGGGTTGAACCCGGGGCCTTCACACTGAGCTACACCCAAGTCTTCTATTACATTTAATTTTAAGACAGTCTCACTAAGTTGCTAAGTTGCCCCAGCTGGGCTTGAACTTCTGATCCTTCCGCCTCAGCCTCCCAGAGTGCTGGGATTACAGGCGCGTACCTGCATGTGGATACGGATCCCGAGGCCCAGGTGGTTTTAGGGTTCACCCTGGGTCGCACGGCCAGTGAGTGGTGCAGGGAGGAAGCTAGTTCAGTCTTCCGACTCTGTTTCCCTTACTTTGGTATTTCATCACCGTTGCCTGCAGAAAGCGGAGCACAGGACACAAGACAAAGACACCTGCTAACTCGGGTGACTGCCAAGCTTGCTTTTCATGTAAATCTTGAACATTTGCGGTCAGGGTCTTTAGTCAGGGCCTGGCCTTAGCATTTGGTTAAGAATTTTTTCCTTTGTTTGCTTCTCATTATTTTATAGCTGGGTTTAGTCCAAGTCTGGTTTCCCATTGATCATTCTCAGCTTCTTAGGAAGAGAGCTGCATACTGGGAAGGCACTGTTGGTTGTGACCCGTTTCTCACAAGCCCACGTGACAGCATAGGTTGGTGAAGAGGTTGAGTTCACGGCTTCCCAGGAAGGAGAGAGAGTTCCTTCTTTAGCCTTGGAGCCCGGAGTGCTCTGAAACCTGGGCTGTTAGCGGGTCCTTTGCGCTCTCTGTGATAGTCCTGCTGCTATTACGGGTTCCTCTCTGTCTAAAGGGGAGATCAGCTCTCTGTTCTTGGGAGGTCCCTGAAAATTCTGCCGGTCTTAGCACAAACGGGGACCACACCAAACAAACCCACGCCCTCTCCTTCCTGGCAGCCCTGCCCTTGAGAAAACACCATCCCTGGTGCCGTGTTGGTTCTCTGCAGCCTCATCCCCAGCAGGCTAGGTATCCATCGTCCTGCTCCACACACAGCCTCGCAGGAGGGCAGGTGCCGCATCCCTTCAGCCAGGGAGGGGAAACACCCTCCTGATAATTCTTTGCCCTAAAGGTTGTTGATGAGGGCTTTTCCCCTCATTTGCTCGATACTGAATCAAGAAAAGACCAATAGTGACTTCAGCCCGGTCCCCAAGATCAAAATGCTCATCCTGTGACGTTTTGAAAATTGACTAGATATTTGTTAGTATCTAGCAATTAAAATACACGATCTTTTTCATTTAAATTTTTATTGAGGCAATTGGAGAGTCACATGCATTTATAAGAAATACAGAATGCTCACTTTGGCAGCATGTACACTAAATTGGGAATGGCATCAAGATTAGCGCGGCTCCCGCACAGGGACGACGTGAATTCATGAAGCATTCCAACATTTAAGAAAAATATATTTCCCTTCCTGTTACTGGTAGTCCTGAATGTTAGGTTTTTTTTTTTTTTCCCGTGAGATCAAAAAGTGCCTTAAGCATTGCAACTAGAAAAATAGAACTCCAACCAGGCGTGGTGGCACATACCTGTAATCCGAGCACTCGGGAAGCTGAGGCAGGAGGGTTGTTGTGAGTTCAAGACCAGCCTGGGCTACAAAGTGAGCTCAAGGCCAGCCTGAACTGCAGAGCGAGACCCTGTCTCAAAAAAGAAAAAAAAAGGGGCTGGGGATTTAGCTCAGCGGCAAAAGCGCCTGCCTGGCAAGCGCAAGGTCTTGAGTTCGGTTCCCGGTACCGGAGAAAAACCAAAAAGAAAAAAAAAAAATAGAACTCACATGTTGATAGTTTTTGTACTTTGTGTGTGAAAAAATGTTTCAGTGTACAAGTTTCAGCAATTCAAGTTCATAACAATTGCAAATTATTTTTCTGGACAATGGCAGTTTTGGGATTTTTTTTAAAAAAACTAATTTCATACAGCAGCTAAATGGTGGTTGTAGCATTTATGTCATATGGTAGATTTCATCCACTCCTCATACTTTTCTAAGTGAGTTGTGCTGCGTGCAACTATATGTTTTTAGTGAGATCTATCCTTGGTGGTGTTCCTCTGAGTTTGCTAGTGAAATACATCAGCCCGTAGAAAAACAAAAACAAATGGCTTTGGAGTGTAGCTGAATGATAACTCACTTGCCTAGCATGTGTGAGGCGCTAGCTTCAATTCCCAGCAACACATACACACAGCAGAGAAATACCCGTTTACGCTCTGCTTAGATTTTGCTCGTGAACATGCTGCAGAAGTATGGTGAAATAGCACAACAAGAATATTGATGTTAATACAGTCTGTTAGGCTTATTCATATTTCCCATTTTATTTGTGTGTGAACGCACGTGTGCACACTAAGTTGCATACAACTTTATCACCTGTGTTTGGTACGGATTCCTTTCTTTTGGTGCTGGAGGTTAAATAAAGGGCCTTGCACATGCTAAGCACACACTACCACTGAGCTGTATCCTCAGCCTAGTATACATATTTTTAAATTAAATCCTTCATAAAAGTATCCTCTCTTGCTGAGCATGGTGGCATGTGTTTGTAATCCCAGCTACTTGGCTGAAGTTCAAGTATAGCCTAGCCAACTTAATGAGGCCCTGTCTCAAAGTAAGAAAAGGGCTGGGGGTGTAGCTCAGTAGCCCAAATTTCAATCCCCAGCATTCTAAAAAAAAGGTGGGGGGATCCCCTTTCTTTTAGTCTATCGTCTGACTGAAATACTGTGTTAGGAAGAACTTGTCCTCCATCTTGTCTTAAAATAGTGGAAATCTTATCCACAAATAGAACTTTAATAATAAAAGTGATATGTTACATCAAATTCAAATTTGCCTACATAATTCACACGGCGGTGTTTATTACAGTGAATTTGCGATGACAAATCTTAGGAGTTTACACCACAAGCCTGTTGATGAATTTTTTTGTGTATAACGAGAACAATTCTGAGGACACAAGCCTGGTCCCCTGGAGTGAGTTTGAGTTGTACCTTTTCCTTGTTTTTGCCAGCATTCATTGGCAGGCTTCTTCTGGTCAGTACGATACTCTGACCATTGGAAGTACAAAAAATCAGATGGAATGACTAAGTCAATTAAAAGAGCAATTTTACTGAACACCTCCTTAGAAAGAGAGGAAGCGCTCAGAACAGACTTTATTTCCAGTGCCCTGGAGCTCTGACTATCATGTTCTCAGCTGAGAATGAAACTGGCTTTAAAGAGAAACAGCATTTTTTTCCTGCTCCACTCGCCCTTGAACCTCAGACTTTCTCAGCCGTGTGGGAAGGAAATTGATGGGAAATGACATTGTTGTTCACGTCGTATGGCTAGACTGCATTTACTTTTAGGCCTTTTTGAGTTGTGGCCTGTTTGGTAAAATAGGAAGTTTAGCAGGAGAGAGCTTTTTTTCACATATTTTGAAGAAGAATCAAAACTTGAGCAAATGAGAAACTCTGTTGTGTGAGTCCTAAATGTTTCAGATACGAGTTGAATTTGTGCTTTTTACAGTTTTTAAATTTTAAGATTACTATTTCAGTTGCAATATCCAGTTTATTGGGACCACCTTGAGTTCTGTGATGGATTCAGAAAACTTCTAGACCATTTACAACTGGATAAAGTGAGTACCCTGAAACTAATTACTCACATGATTTTAATGCAACATTTAGCTTGTAAAACCTGTTGCTTTTTAGTTTTTTAAATATTTATTCACATGCTACATAATTTATCCCTTTTAAGTATACAATTCAGTGTTCTTTAATAAATTCCTAAGTATACGAAACCATCACCACTGTCAATTGTTAGAACATCTTTTCACCCCTAACAAAGAAACCTCAGATTGGGCTCAGTAGTAGAGTGCCTGTCTAGAATGTACAAGGCCCTGGGTTCATTCCCCAGCACTGCCAAAAAGGAAAGAAACGCAGATTTATGTATTAGCAGTCTTTCTCTGTCATTCCTCCTCTTAGCTGTGCAGCCTGACCTACTTTCTGTGTCTTTAAATTTGTCCCTTCTGAATATTTTGCATAAATATAAATATGTGGAAATGTAAATACATATCACATGTGGTCCTGTATAACTAGCTCTTCCACTTAGCATAATGTGTCTGAGGTTCTTTAATGTTGCAGCCTACCTCAGTACAGGCTGTACTTTATCTGAAGTGCTTGAGGTTAGAAGTGTTTCAGATTTTAAATTGTTTGCATAGACTTTCCCAAACTCAAAATTCAAACTACTTCAGAATTTGAAATCTTTTGAGTGTCATGTCTTTAAAAAGTTTTAGTTTTTGGTTTTTTGGGACAGGGTCTCACTATGTAATTCAGGCTGGCCTCAAACTTGCAGTGATCCTCCTGCCTCAGCCTCCCGAGTGCTGGGATTACAGGCGTGTGCCATCACACCTGGCTAAGTTTTAGGTTTTGAGGCATTGCAGATTTACAGTTTCTAAATTTTCAACCAATATTTCATTTCCCTTTATGATTATATATCTATATATTTTATATATATCCATATAGCATATTTTGCTTATTCATTCATCAATACATGCATATATGATTTGTTTCTACATTTTGCCTATCATGAGTAATCCTGCTGTCAATATTTGTGTGTAAGTTTTTCTCTAACATGTCTTCAGTTTTCTTGGGATGATCCTAGCAGTGGGATTACCGAGTCACAATTCTTTTGAGTTTTTCTTTTTCAGGGGAGAACAAGGTGTGGAACCCAGGGTCTCACTCCTACTAGACAAGTGCTCTACACTGCACTAAGCCCTCAGCCCTCATAGTTTTCTCAAACTAATTGGTTTCATTTTCTAATGCAACTTGTGAATAACGTTTTTTGACTTATGTAATCTGAATGTATAGTTGTATCAATGGGGCATATAAATTGTACTAAAATACAGTGTTTCCTAATTTGTAAGTGTTGTAGATATCTCAGTCTTGTTACCCAACACACATTTGGTGGTGAGATTCTGTAGTTAGTGATAACTGAAGCAATTTACAAAAATAACTCTCATCAACAGGGTTGATTGATGTTTCAGAATCTGCCTTATGTTTATTTATAATTAGGTTCATCTGTTTGGGGCTTCTTTGGGAGGTTTTTTGGCCCAGAAGTTTGCTGAATACACTCACAAGTCTCCTAGAGTCCATTCCCTCATCCTGTGCAACGCCTTCAGTGACACCTCTATCTTCAACCAGACCTGGACTGCAAACAGGTATGGACAGAGACTTTAAGCCAAAAATATGTGGATTTTTGTGTTCAGTGCAATTTTAAAAATTTGGCTTTAGGGGTTTTTGGCCTTAGTGGGGAGAGAAAGGTCATAACTTGCCTCTGTCTTCTGCAGCTCCCCTGACTTTTAAAATTATAACAGTGTGTTTGTGGCCTGGGGATACAGCTCAGTGGCACGAGCGCCTGCCTGGCAAGCGTAACATCCTGAGTTCGATTCCTGGTACAGAAAAACAAAAACAAAAACACATAAGTGTATGGCTACACCTTGAGACAGCAGTGTGTTTGTGAAAGAAACAATCTGAGTGAACTCTGAAATCAACTATTTCTGTACTGTAAGTTATTATTTAATATATATTTGTACAGTATTAGTTTTTCTTCAGTGCATCTGTGTAGCTGATGCTGCATTCTGCCGGCCCCATGTATTTTATGTGTACATTTTTGTGTATTGAGCAATAGTTTCATTAGGTGTTTGGTTTTTCCCAATTTTTCAACATTCTGCTACAAATCTTTGTACAGATTACTTTTTTCCTTCTCTTTCTGAGTTGTTTCCCAAATGGAAAGACTAAAGCATACAATCCATCCGCAAAAGCTCTTTAGAAACGTGGAAATGGTGGAGATGCTTTAGGGGCAGTCAGTGGTTTTCTGTTGTCTTAAAGCTGGTTTATGAAGTGCTACTTTCATTGTCAGCAGGTGAGGCTTTATCCTATAAAAAGCCTGTTACCATGCCCGGATAGTTTTGCTGATTGAAAAGGGCCCATTGAATGGAGGAGAAGTTGTTGGGGCAAGGCAGGCCATTTATTCAGTAAGCCGGCAAGACCAAGAAAAATGGTGGGCTTGTGTACACAGGTTTTAAGATCTTTTTATTTTTAGGAGGAAATGATTAAGCAACCATGGTAACTGGTGATCTTTTAATTTGCACAGTCCATTTAAATGAGGAAACTGGGTTGCGGGCTTAGGGAGGCGCAGACCATTGAGCTAAGGTTAACACTAAGTCCAGCCAATGTGTCCCTGCCCCCGCACCCCAGTATTCTATCCGGTAACCTTGTAGGACAAGGGGAGGTGAGTACTCTGTCAGGTTGCACCTGAGGGAAACGCACAGAACGGAAATGCCTAACCTAGAGCTGGAGGTGAGGCTCTGTTCAGATGAACGCTTCCTATGACCTCAGCAGGTCTGACGCTTCTCAGAAGCAAGAAGGTGCAATTTGCTATTCTTTCCCAACAAAACTGGCCTTTCCCTGTATACCAGCTCTAGGCCAGGTTAAACTAAGCACTTCCTTGGTCTGGAAGGCACAACTAAATCCCTTTTTGGGGGTACTATAGGATCGAGATGGGCTTCCATGTGGGAGGGTGCATCTGTTTCCTACAGGATTTGTCCCCGTTTCCAATTGATGGACCTCTTTATGAGAGTCTCTCCATAAACTTTCTGCGTAGGACCTCAGAGGAGGTTGTCCCTGGGCATTTGTTCACACCCCTTAAATAGTAAACATAGCCAACAAGTCCAGAGCTATAGGGCATATTGAGAAGGGGCCATCTTCCCTGAAACAGGAAAGTTTTCTTCCCCAAGACCAGCATCCCTGGTCAGACACGACAGGTGGTTATGTCAACTCTGCAAGAGGCTCACCTCCACATAAGGGGCCTGGAGGAGGGTTATGAATATTTCCAGCTTACATTACTGAGATTTCACTTTCTCTGAAGTATTTGAGGATCTCTACTAGGGTGACAGTGCAGGAATCTGACCACCTCACTCTGAGTGTAAATTTCAGTCGCATGTCGTGGGTTTATAGTGGCAGTGCAGCCGGTTTGACAGAAGAGTGAGTTCTCGGGAGAACTTCAGGTGGTCTGTTTTCTTTTCTTTTTTTTTTTTTTTTTTGGTTTTTCTCTGGTACCGGGAATCGAACTCACAACCTTGTGCTTGCCAGGCAGGCACTTTGCTGCTGAGCTAAATCCCCAGCCCCTTAGGTGGTCTGGTCTTTGTTCCTTCCAGGTTTTTAGGACTCAGCCACCGGGTTGAAATAGACAGGTGTCACTGGGGTAGATGAAAGCAAATGCATGGACAGAAGTTAATGTGGTCCCCAGTGATTTCATACATGGAGTCCGCACCTCATTCTGTGATAAGCCAGCACATTCCCTCCTATGGGGGCAGAGATCTGAAATGAGCTACTACGTAGTATTTTAAAAGGACTCAATTTGTGGCAGTTGGCAGTGAGTGCTTTAGTCCAAGTTAAGTTGATTTCTTGATGGATTTTTGCAGTAGCTTTCCCTAAAATGGTTCATCTTCTGTCTCTCCTGTCAAAGATTGAAGCCTCCAGAAAGAGTAGCTTCTAAGTAATATGCAGTATTTTAGATCCCTGTTGGATAACAGCTGAGACAAAGATCCACTGTCACTTTGAATTGTGTTAGGCAGACTACAACTTGGAAAAGGCCTTTAGAGGGGTGTTTTATGTTTAGATAAAAAGCAAAGGTGTCTACAATACTGACAGATACCTGTAATTTCCTAGGGCTGTGGGCCTTTCAGCAAAACCAACCTGCCAGTTTTTTGTTGGGGTCAGGTCTCATCCGTGGAGGCCTGATGGTTGTGCTTCCCTTGGGAATATTTTTGGCACACACCAGGTAGTTCTGAGTGACCGATTGAACAGTTCTTTGTGCATTGGGCCCCCTGCTGTGTTTCTGGACTATTCACTGGGGATGGCATTTGTCCCAAAGTGAGTGCAGTTGTGTGTGTGTGTCATCACAGGCTTAAGAAGTGTGTCTGGGGCCAGAATTATTCCTCGAGCGTTGCATTCCCCCCGGGACTGCTGGGTCAGAAGTGAAGCCTCAGGCCTTAGCCCTTGGAAATAAGTCCATTCAGGGAGCTAGAAATCCTGTTAGGGCAGTGACGTCACTAACCTTGGCATAAGGCTGCTTCCGTCCCTAAATAGCTCTAGTTTGTCTGGAGAAAGGCTGATCAGAGAGATCCAGCCAGCTGGCTGTAACGTCCTAGCTCTGTAACCTGCAGGCCCTTGTGTTGGGGATGGGGGGCGTGAGGGGTCAGAGGCCTCATTGGGAGCAAGGTGGCCGGTTGGGATTGTCCAGCAGGATGGTATTTTCCGTCTTCCTGCCGTGAGCCGGGACCTCCTTACGTTCTAATGAGGAGAGGACGTGGTGGGGCACATACACAGGCACAGGGTATGTCAAGGCGACTTTTTCTGCCTCCTGAGGAATGTCATAAGTGGCTGTAACTGCGTGCAGGCCGGGGGGCCGTCCCTTAGCCGTGCAGTCTAGTTTGGGAAAAATGTGTCACCGGATGCAGCGCCTCTGCTAGAGGCTGGGTTAAAACTCCAAGCCACGGTCCTTGTTTTTTATGAACACAGGAAGGATGGCTTTTGCAAGTCAGGAAGCTGTCAGAGGCCTTTTGACGTTCCTTAGTCCATTCCAGAGGCTCAAGATCATGTCCCCCGAGGGCCAGATAAACTCATGATTGGCAATCCAAATTCTACAAAAACGCACCATTCCCAGAAGTGCTCTCCGTGACCGCCCAGCAGGTTTATGGTCTGGCAGCAGGTCTTTTTTGCCCCTGCAACAAAGCAGAGCCCAGATAAGTGACGTGTGGCTTGCAGGTTTGTGCCCCTTTTTAAGACAAAAATTTATCCCCATATCCTGCTGAATAATTGAGTCTTCAGTTTTGCAAGGCACTCATCATATGTACCTTGAGCTCGCTGTGCCCCAAATTGTAACAGGAATCCCTGACCTGACTTGGGAGACTTTGAATTTAACTAAAATTTCCCCAAACAAGGGGACCTGAAGAGTTTTGCTAGAATTTTCCTGAACAAGGTAGGGAAATTCTTAAAAGCCTTGGGGAACAGTGCAATCCAGCAAGCAGTATTGTCGGGTGGACTGAGTGTCTGCCATTCACTGCAAACAGTTCTTGGGATTTGTTTTCTACCAGAATTGTGAAAAAGGCATCCTTGAGGTCCAGTGGTGAAAATCACCGTGTGCTCCTGGGAGAGCTGTCAGCAGTGTCGTTAGCAGGCTTTGGGGTGCTGGTGTCTCCTTCTAGAGGTGATTTCTAGGTTCTTCCTGTCCTGAGCAAAGAGTTGGTCAAGACAAGCACAAATGCTAATCAGGTTTCACGTTGACTAGAGGATGGAAAAATCAGGCTCTGCAGAGTGAGTTTGGATCAAGTAAGTGTACGGGGGAAAAAGTTGCTGTTTTTTTAGCCCCGGGGTGGGGTATCACGAAGGGACACCATGGCAAGAGCTCATTGGCAGCTGTTCTATATATTGCCCCTTTTTTATCACCTATGTTGGCCTCACAGCGGGGCCATCCTATTGAAAACCTGGTTAAATCCTTGCAAGAAGTCCAAGTGCAGAGCTTTGGGAAGTGCTCTGCGCCTGTGTCACAGGATTTTGCAATTAACAGGTCGCACCTACTTTCCCAGCTAGTTTTAGCCACTTCCTAACCTCCTGCCTCGTTTCCCCCTAAGATACGCAGATCCCCACCGTTCTTTATGGAGTGCCGCGGGAGCGGAGGCGCCCACCTTCATGCAGCTCCTTCCTGCTGCAAGGGGTGGGAGGCCTTACCTCCTGGGGATTATGTGCTCTCCGACTACCTTGGGGTGTTGTGGCTCACTGGCTCGGTTGAAGGTTAAAAAATAGAACTGTTAGAAGACAGTGAGAAGAGAGTAACTGCTGAACTGTCTATTTTATGGGAGACAGAAACTAACTTCCATGTAGAATCCAAGTATGAGGAAGAGGTCAGAGCTCCACACTTCCTGTGGAGAAGAAAGTATGGTGAAGAGGGACGTCACACACCTTAGCAAGATTCCATGTATTCCTCTGTGCTCAGAGCAGTACTGAAGTCATATATTTTAAAGAGAAGTCTCAGGTGTCCCAGAGGTTCACAGGAGTAGTCTTTTTCTTTTAGGTGATTTTATTTTTAAGACAGTTAAAGTGAGGTTGGGTTCATCAGAGGTGAATCCAGTTATTTGTCTGCCACCATGACTTCAGT